TGGGGTCACTCAGAGGAGAAGATGGTGAAATGCAAACAGGGGACACAGAAAGGGCTGAACTCCTCAATGCCTTCTTTGCCTCAGTCTTCTCCGATAAAGAAAACAATGCCCGACCTGAAGAATTTGGAGCAAATGATTCAGCAGAGGAAACACAGCCCAGAATAACTAAGGAGATAGTACAAGAATACTTGGCTAGTTTAGATGTATTCAAGTCTCCAGGGCCAGATGAACTGCATCCAAGAGTATTAAAAGAACTGGCAGATGTGATCTCAGAACCACTGGCAGTCATCTTTGAGAATTCCTGGAGAACAGGCGAAGTCCCGGCAGACTGGAGGAGGGCAAATGTTGTCCCTATTTTCAAAAAGGGGGAAAGAGAGGACCCAAATAATTACCGCCCAGTCAGTCTGACATCAATACCAGGGAAGATTCTGGAGCAGATCATTAAGCAAACAGTCTGTGAGCACCTAGAAAGGAATGCTGTGATCACCAATAGTCAGCATGGATTTCTGAAAAATAAGTCATGTCAGACTAACCTGATCTCGTTTTTTGACAGAATTACAACCCTGGTAGATGAAGGGAACGCAGTGGATGTAGCCTACCTTGATTTTAGCAAGGCATTTGACAAGGTGCCCCATGATATTCTTGTAAAGAAGCTGGTAAAATGCGGACTTGACTATGCTACCACTCAGTGGATTTGTAACTGGCTGACTGACCGAACCCAAAGGGTGCTCATCAATGATTCCTCTTCATCCTGGAGAAGAGTGACTAGTGGGGTGCCACAGGGTTCTGTCTTGGGCCCGGTCTTATTCAACATCTTTATCAACGACTTGGATGATGGACTCAAGGGCATCCTGATAAAATTTGCAGATGACACCAAACTGGGAGGGGTGGCTAACACCCCAGAGGACAGGATCACACTTCAAAATGACCTTGACAGATTAGAGAACTGGGCCAAAACAAACAAGATGAATTTTAACAGGGAGAAATGTAAAGTATTGCACTTGGGCAAAAAAAATGAGAGGCACAAATACAAGATGGGGGACACCTGGCTTGAGAGCAGTACATGTGAAAAGGATCTAGGAGTCTTGGTTGACCACAAACTTGACATGAGCCAACAGTGTGACGCGGCAGCTAAAAAAGCCAATGCAATTCTGGGCTGCATCAATAGGAGTATAGCATCTAGATCAAGGGAAGTAATAGTGCCACTGTATTCTGCTCTGGTCAGACCTCACCTGGAGTACTGTGTCCAGTTCTGGGCACCACAGTTCAAGAAGGACACTGACAAACTGGAACGTGTCCAGAGGAGGGCAACCAAAATGGTCAAAGGCCTGGAAACGATGCCTTATGAGGAACGGCTAAGGGAGCTGGGCATGTTTAGCCTGGAGAAGAGGAGGTTAAGGGGTGATATGATAGCCATGTTCAAATATATAAAAGGATGTCACATAGAGGAGGGAGAAAGGTTGTTTTCTGCTGCTCCAGAGAAGCGGACACGGAGCAATGGATTCAAACTACAAGAAAGAAGATTCCACCTAAACATTAGGAAGAACTTCCTGACAGTAAGAGCTGTTCAACAGTGGAATTTGCTGCCAAGGAGTGTGGTGGAGTCTCCTTCTTTGGAGGTCTTTAAGCAGAGGCTTGACAACCATATGTCAAGAGTGCTCTGATGGTGTTTCCTGCTTGGCAGGGGGTTGGACTCGATGGCCCTTGTGGTCTCTTCCAACTCTATGATTCTATGATTCTATGATTCTATGCACAATGTTTATAAACATGCAATAATAGTTTTATATGTTGCTTTCAGATGTTCAGAGTGCTTTGTACAAATTCTCCTGTTACAATCCTTACAACAACCACGTTGAATTAATTGGCATTATCCTTAAGCTGAAAGTAGCTTGACTAAAGTCATGTGATGTGTTCATAGTGGATGCATCAATTCAGATTGATATCATATTGATTCATGGACCAGTCTCTTAGCTGCTGTGCAACACCAGCTCACACATCCTTTCCAACATGACATTTTAAAACTCGAATTTCTAGGTTGTCATCTCCAGCGCATCCGAGGCAGGTTTTCTCATCCCTTGCTCAACAAGTGTTGGCTTCCATGATAAGTTACTTTTTAAGCTGCCCAGTATAGACTTATGGAAGAAATCAGAAATAATAGATTGTGAGTAACACTAGCTACTTTGCTTTCTCTGAAACTATACAGGATGAAGAGTACTGTATTTTTTGCCCTATAGGTCGCACTTTTTCCCCTCCAAAAATGAAGGGGAAATGTGTGTGCGTCCTATGGGGCGAATGCAGGCTTTCGCTGAAGCCTGGAAAGCGAGAGGGGTCAGTGCGCACCGACCCCTCTCGCTCTCCAGGCTTCAGGAAGCTATCCGCAAGCCTTGCGCGCCCGGGGGGAGTTCCCGCGGGCTCGCAAGGCTTGCGGGCAGCAGCCTGCAGCCTGAAGCACGGGGCGCCCTCCAGAGGGCGCCCTGTGCTTCGGGCAGGTGGCCGCAAGCCTTGCGGGCCCGGGGGAGTTCCGGGCTTCCCCCGCCCCAGCCTGGGGGGGAGGAATTTTTTTTATTCATTTCCCCCCAAAAAACGAGGTGCGTCCTATGGGCCAGTGCGCCCTATAGGGCGAAAAATACGGTAAATTTCTACAAGAGCTAAAAAGAATTTGCCAAAAGCATACACATTTCTCCCTAGTTCATCTGAAGTATTGCAACAAGCCAGGATAAATAAGTTAATGGGATAAACTTATTCACAAGAACAGGATTAGCAACATGTGGAACAGACCCTGTTAGTAAGTTATCTGTTGTGTTCAGTTCCTGGGTTTCCAAGATATGGCAGTAGCTTCTAAGCGATACGTTATTTTGGACAGCTCCTATGCCCAGATTGATAGCACATAACCCAGAGTCCTAGCTGAACAACAAAGAAATCCACAGACAAAGGAAAATTAATGGAATTCTAAGAGAAATCACGCCCGTGAACATCTAGTTTCCTCCCTAGAACAGTACATCACACACCATTAAATTATCTCCTCATTACTATGGAGCTTTATCCTATTCGATCTCCCTGCCTCTTTCCCCAGCAGGAGCTAAAACTACCAGCAGAGATTATAGGGAAAAAAGGCTGAAATTAATTTGGAAACAGCATTCAGGACGGTAAATTCCACAGAAAAACTAATTATCCCAATGAAAGCTGTTCATTTGCTGCACTTGTTGTGAGATAAGCACAACCACAATTCCTTGCAGCCAACACAAATACTCTCAGGAAAAGCAAACGGAGAGAATAATCAATAGTCAAGAATTCATTAGAACATCACAGGGGTATCATTTTAGGGTGATGTCTTTCACTTTGTATGGAACAGGAGCAACGCTCCTGTATCTTACATATGAGCTGTGGAGATGAAATGAAGAAAACGCTGCCTATTTAGCGGTAGCAGGATAGAGTCAAAATTGGGAAACATGTGCAAAACATGTACAGTTAGGGCGGGCTTCTTCACACACATGCAAGGAGCTTTGGGGTCAGAGGTTCAGGGCAATGGGAGACATCTATTCCCAAAGAAAATGGAACTTCACTTCCCTACGCCCCCCAAAAGGAAGATGGTTCTGTAAAGCTAATTTCTCTATTTGGTTGGCTCCTCTTTTGTGCTGACCACTGATCTGATGAGTGCAAGGGTCAGAACATCTAACAGCTGCTTCGAAAATAATAGAAGCCTTAATTAAAAACAAACATGCAGGAGGAATTCTTCTCGTCCTTCGTTGTAGAGAAAAATATGAAATCTTGTATTAATTTATGAAGCCCTGAACAGATTAGATCCTGGGTAGCTCAGGGACTGCCTGACCCCTTACATTCCAGCTTGATCACTAGGATCATCTGCCAGAGATGTTGCTGGTTGTTCTCTGAGTTGGCAAGGATTATTTGACAACAAGGAACCAAGCCTTTAGAGTCAGCCCTCTCCTCTGGAATACTCTGCTAGTAGAATTCAGCGGGCTTCTCCTGTTTCAACTTTGAAGCACCTGCTGAAAACTTTCCTATCCCATTAGGCTTATGCAGACAAATAAGAATACACATTTCCACAACAGTAATCTGATTTTAACTTTTTTTGTACGGTTTTCATGGTATGGTTTTATGTACAGTTGTTGCGAACCACCTTGACATTTTCCTTATGAATTGGTGGCTTATAACTATCCTTTATAAAAGTAATTAATAAATAAAATGTATATGCATTCTCAACAAAACCCTGATCAACTACAGAAACTGGATTACGTACTGGGTCCTAACGCTTTACCAATCTCATTTTATGGATTCTTATTTTCCAATATGTCAACATCACCATCATCTTCTTTTTAAGCTCCACAATGAGACACGGTGAATTCATAGCATTTGAAATCTTTGATACCACTTTAATTTATATATTTAAACATAACTCACTCATACATCAATTCCAGAAGCTGTAGAGCAGGGCTGGGAAGACTTCAGACTTGCCATTATTATTATTATTATTATTATTATTATTATTATTATTATTATTCTGAACCCAAAGATCCACCAACCAAAGCAAAAGACATAGCAGGTAGAATTAAAGAATGAGGGTGCCTCTGAGCATATTCTGAGCCTAGGAATTTATTTTCAGTAACAGGAAATAACCTCTTACAGTACTTTCACACATACCCTCTATTTAGCTTGTTTCTTCTTAGTCCCCTATTTTGGGTTGGAACTCATTTTGTGTTGCTATATTTAAACAGTCGGGAGTCAGAAACCCTTGCAAAATCACCCAGGATCTGGCCGCAGATCCCAGTCTATCTTTTACACAACCCTGGCTTAGGAGAGAAAGAAAGATCAATGGCACAGTAAACAGCAGAACTGAGGTGAGAAAGTGGTGAAGACAGTCATAGGAGGAGAAGCACAGTTGTTTTCTGGTGCAGGAATGATTGTGGGCCTTTGGTCAAGAACAGCAATTCTAGTCCAACCAACTGGAAAGGAAGAGGGTGGGCTAAAATCCAAAAACCTACCTTTACTCCATCAGACTTCTTGTTCAGTAAGCTTTTGGCAGCTGCAGAGAGAAATAAGAGACACAAGTAAGCTTCATTTTGTGAACGCCTGTTCCCTTGCCCTTCAACTCAGTCTTATGGGAGTGTTAGCAGAAAGTTTTCCTTGCTAATTAGGATGGCTTTAAAGGCCAAGCCATATCCATCTCAGGCTTCTGCTTGTTCAAAACAACAAATTATGCAACCTGCCTAGTATTCACACCAAAGACACTGCTTAGTAAAACAGGCCTTGAGAGCTCTTGAGGTTTGGTTTCAAATCTTTCACTTTCATTGCTTGTCCCATCCCTTCAATATTCAAAGTTAACAGTGACAATAAAAAAAGGGGGGGTCTATTAAATTCCAAAAGCTGAACGTTACCCCTTGATTACAGTTGTTAAGGCTGCTTCACACAAGGCAAACTTTCTCCACGGAAGTCATCAGCACTTTTTTTTTTTTAAATTAAAAGTGCAAATCTCACATGTAGTTTTGTTGTGTGCAATGAATTCAATAGTTGTCTTGACCAGCGGCAAGTTCCTGCTGCATGTACACATGGCGAAATACACGTATGATATCCATGCAGGAAATTTTGCCTGTGAAGTGGCTCATGCATAGATATTACCTATTAAAAAGTAATAGTCGATGGGCGTGGTCAGCGCCAGGGAATTCCAAGTGCTTTGACCAATCCAATCTACCAGTGGGAATCCACGTGGAATAAGAACGAGGAAAAGATGGCTCATGTTCCGCGGTGCGGAATGGGGAACAGAAGCAAGGCAGCACTGGCAGCTGCCAAGCAGGGGAACGAAAGGGAGACGACTATAAGCAAGATTCAGGCTACCTGTTTCGCCTTCAGAAAGGCAAGGCCATGTCACCTTTGTCTGAACGAACAACTAGCTTGCAGACACACAAACACGTCACACACAAGTATACATGTACTGCGGATGCATGTGTAGCAGAGGGATACAGAACGACCCCCAATGCACACATGAGACCACCTATACATGCCCAAGGACAACAACTCAGCATATCCACTTACAACAGCAAAGCGGCATTTGCTTGCAACTTCGTGGCCAACAAATTCACTCAACAGGTGCCTATTGGCGTAAAGGAACTGCCCCACAAACTGTACACTGCAGTTGGTGAAGGGTTCTAGGGAGACGGTAGGACAAATGAGTTGCAAATTTATGCTAATGCCTCTTAAAAACTGCTTAGGTCACATCCACATGAAGGTACAAGAATAGGGTCAAGGCGAAAGCATGATGTGAAATTTCCGTGGCCGGGACTGCAGCACGGATCAAAATCTTACAATGCAGAGAATGGCAGGCAGAGAACATTCGCTTTATTTCTAAAAGTGTGAAAATATTAGCCCTTGCGATCACCATGAAAGCATAGTTAAGTTTCTGCTTTAAATCCCAAGAGAGCCAAGTTCTGGGTTCTCAGGCATCTCCTACACGTTTCAAAATAGGTTGGGCTAAAAATGGGGTGGGCTTCATGAACATTTCCTTGTCCCTCCTTGTAAAACTATTTCTATATAGAAGCTAGATGGTCACCTATCAGGGGTGCTGCAGCAGAAAATTCCTGCATCAGCAGTGGAATGGATTGGGTTGCCTTTGAGGTCTCGCCCAAATCTAGGATTCTAGTACAGCAAGTTAGGGAAATATAACCTGGTTGCCTTAGCCGTGTGTTCCCTCTTCTCCCCTTTCTCTTTAGCAAGGGCTATGGAAGGAATTCATCCCCAGTGAATGTCATCACATAGCCAAATCTGATTTGCTATACAGCACTGGGACATCGTTGTGTTCATTATGCAACTGGTTGGGATCATGTAGTGGCAAGGTAGAACATATTGGGGCTGTAAACAGGTACGAAATAGACTTTGCAGAGCCCACTGAGTAGTGGCGGTGGCAGGGTTTCTGTTAGAGGAACTCATTGCACGCCCTAAAGCCCACGTTTTGCATAAAACAAATGTAACTCATGGTAATTTGGCCCAGAACTGCACTCAACACAGTTATTGCGTGCCTAAGAAGATTTTAAACCCAAGACTTGAACAGAAATACTTTGCAACCCACATATTAGGCTAAGGAAATCTGACCAATCAGAAGGGTTAAGATTTCCTGCTCGTTGAATTTGGAATCCCAGATTATCCTGAATATGGGCAGGTTTGTATGGAAGTTGAAATTCCTCTGAAACTTTGTGCCCACCTTGAAAACAAACGAACAAAAAAAAATGGAGGTGTTTTTGCTTCCCTATTTACATGAGTAAAAAAAATGTAGAAAGAAAAAGCTTCTGACTTTCTATACACAAGCAAAAAAATAAAAATAAAAGATCCAGCTACCACCACCCTCATAAACTGCATTCATAGACACTTGGAAGTTTCACTTGCCCCAAAGGCATACTATCTCAAGTTTCTTCAAGAACTCCTCTACATTTCATGTTAAATTCAGGGCTACAAATCAACAGAGGGAACTCTGTTCAGTGTCTTAGTTAACAGCGGAGGCAGCGTGAAGGAGACATCACCTATATGAATCTAATGAGGCCTACTGCACAGACTGAAATCAATTTTTTACCCTTGTGTAATTAGTCCTGACTCCACTGTATGAAACTGATGCTTCATGCTTGGAATTTATTTTTTACAGTTTATAACTGCAGCGCACAACCACTCTGCTGCGTGCTGGATGACAAAGTGCTCAAGCACATTTCTGAAAGAGTCAGAAATTTCATATTGATCTCTCCCCACCTGTGAAGTTATCATATTGGGGGGAAAGGCAGCACCTTATGTGGTCAGTGGTACTGAATACAGAGACAAACACGAGAGAAAATTCCTCTCTGAGTAGTCTTTCCAGGCTAAAGAGGTGGGGTGGTGGTTACTCAACTACAGCCTGTGTCGTTTGCAATATGGATAGCATAGCTGCCATGGAAAACCACTTTGACGTGAGCACTTTTCACACCAGCTGCTCTGTCCACGGGATGCGTTGCTTACACTGGCTTTGCAACAACAAACAGCATGGTGCCTTGGTTATGCAGAAGTGGGTTTCAGGTTCTATCACGCCACCAGCAGAACATACGAAACAGGTCTCAACAAGAGGAGAGTTAAAAGCAAAAAGAGAAAGTGTACACCACATGGCACACCCAAAGTGGACAGACATCAAGTTAGGCCACAAAATTCTGATGTGTGAGTTCTAGTTTGGTCTGGAACAGAAGACAATATGGAGGAGGGGGTGGGAACCAAGGGAGAGGTAACAGGAAAACACAGTGCTTCTGATTGGAATTTGCTTCCATCCCTGGGGGAAATGCAGGACAAAGGTTTAAGAAATAAGAAGAGTGAAAGAGTAAGCAAGCTGCGTAGTTACACAGAGCTTACGGCTTTGTTCTGCATAACCCACTTAAACAATGGAAATCACAACCAAGAGAGGGCACTTCCTTACCTGTCTCGTATCTTCCTTTTGGCCCTGTCAGAAATTATACCCCCCCCCCACAGAAAGCAGGGAAGTATTTACATGTTTCTAGAGCACTTGGAGCTACCTTAAGGTGATAGGTATCACAAATTCCTCAATGCCTGAAAAAAATCTATGCCCACAAGTGCTTGGAGAAGGATGGGGGGCGGGGGGGGGGATAGGAAAAGCAGCAAATGTCATAGACCATCACAGATTGTGAACAGGCTGCAAAATGCATTTAATTAATTCCCCACTCACCCCGAAACTCTTAACACGGAAATAAGTAGTCTGCGTTTATAGTGGGGCTAGAAAAATAGCTGGGTAGGAGAAGCAGTGGGAATAAACTTTCTATGCAACTACTGTGCACTGCGAAGAGATGCAAAGGACAGCCAGGAAGCCTGGTAATGCTAGCTTGAACACAGTTGTGGAAATCTGCTCACATCCTGACCCTAATGAATGTTCCACAGTTCACATGCTTCACCCACACAGCCCCAGAAAAAAAAAATCCAGTTACTGGCCCAGCGCTGCAGGAAGAGAAAAAATTGCTACTCATTTAAAGCAGCTCATGCAATAGAAGATGGTTGGGGGGAGACTTTTATAAATTAATTTACAACACGGTGACAAGAGCAGACATCCCAAGCAGACAAGACAAGACAAAGATGTATGTTTGCTGAGAGCTGTGGCCTGCAGGTGTCAGCCGACACACTGGAAATGTGGAGGTAGGATTCCCACAGATGAAGCACCACACACAGGCACAAGACATGGTGTAAGATGACTCCAAAAAAACAAAAGCACAGGGCACAATACACAACTCAGCACAAGACGACAGCAGGGACGACCCCAGGAAAACTGCCTGGGAGGTCCCTTTCGGGTAAAGAAATGTTTTTGCATCCATGCTCTGCAGATTCCCAGACATGGGACACATTGCCATCCACTCTTGACCCCTCTCAACCCTTCCCCATGTGATGTTAGGTCAGGTTCTGCTTTGAAAAACTATTTTAACATTAAATATATATATATATTAAAATGCTTACTCACAATTTTAGCACAGGGTTGAGTGACCCAGAGTTTGCAGACTCTGCTAAACTTGACGTCACGAAAGCATGTATGTGAAAAATTCTGTAGCCGCAATGAAAGCAAGAGTCCCACATTTCTAATCTTTATGGTCCCTAAATCTGTCTCATCTAAGAGAGTCTGATATGGGTTTCATTCTTTTAAAAAAATTAATAGTATCTTTAATGATGCCTGAAGTTCTCTGCTGGTATCATTTTTGGGAATAGTTTCCCTTCCCCAAAGGACAACGTATATATTATCCGGCGGGCTGATCATCCTGGTTTTAAACTAATGGGCAGAGAGAGAAAATGGGAATCCTTCATGGTTGCAGAAATAACTTGGTATATAATGACAAAACATTTTCCAAGCAGTCCTGGAGGGACTGATGAATTCCTCTGCCTTCTCCTCTTGTTTAATTCATGGGAAATTACCAGTTAGTCTGCAAGCCCGAGTGCCAACAACAGAGGCAGGAGAAATGAACTTTGCCAGTGTCACAGCAAAGTAGGGGGAAGGCCCCTTTTATGGGGCACAGAGGCTGTCCCCCACTTCCTCTCATTTCCTTGCCTGCACACTCCTGGATCTTAGGCATCATCCCACCTAAGGCACATTGACTAAAACATACAGTGAAATTGGGTAGTTACTTTTGCTAGGTAAAAGACCTGGTTCCTTTCTTGAAGTACTTATCACCAATCACTCACAAAAAGCACAACCCTACTCCCCACCCACCGAACTCTGTGGCAGGAACACTGGATCGCAAGAAGTCTAAATTCTGCAATGTGATTTGTATTTTTATGTGTATATATATATATATATTGCATGAAACACCACACGCATAGTGCACCCAGAAACAAGCATGCAAATTAAGTAGAACAAATAGGGGTCTGTGAGGAACTTGTGGGGGAGTAGGGCACAGTGAGGATGACTTCCCTCCCCCTTCCTTCCGCCCCCCACCCTGCAAGATCCTCAGCTGACAGGCATGAGGCCTCTGAAAGACTACTGCTATGTCCCAAGAAGCTCAAGGGATGTGGTCCCAGGCATTTTGAGGGCTCCATGGAGCCTAGCAGGCCAGGGGAGCCCGGGAATTCTGGCACTTCAGCCTGAAAGTCCTTAGGTCCACTTCTGCCCCTGTGGAGGCTCGGCTTCAGCTCAGCAGATTCATTCATTCTGAGCCTAAGGTACTGTCAGTATAATGGGTTTGGGGCTCAGGTTTGGCTGAACATTAATCCTTAGCTGGCTGAAGACTTGTGTCTGCACACTGCTCTCTGCTGTTGGGGATTTTGGTGGAAGAGGGCACAAACCTCAGATGGCATTAGTCCTGGAGGTGTAGGGAGTTCCCCTTCAGGTTCAACATCCATGTTGGTGATCTCCTCCACTGTAAGAGGCCCTTTTTCTGGTCCTATTTGCTTCCCCCTTTGCATTCAAACCCACAGGTGCTCCAAACAGATGGTTCGGAACCACAATTTTTGAACTACAGAATGCAACTTTTCTAAGCTACTGAAAGCTATTGCTTGATACCCAACCGTGTGGATGAATTGCAAGACAACCCTGCATCTCCTCTTCCTGTAACGTGACAGGCCACTTTGTTAGGAAGAAGCTTCGTTATACAACAGCATCCCCACCCTGGCCAAGCCAGTTTGCTGGCATGTTTGGTCCCCTCACTCTAAGATACACTCACCTTCTGAAATCCCCTTCAAACAGCAGGCACTGGCAACCCCACATCCGACCAATCCCTGCCTCCAAATCTCATGTGCTGATTCATTGCAGGACTGGGTTAAGAACCCAACATGCATACTTTGTTAGTAGACTTAAAATCCATGTGGTTATGGTTCTTGGTTAGATGGATACCTTAGTACATGCCCATTTCTCAGCCAGCAAGCATGGATGGCTTCTCACTGGGTTCACAAACACTGGCATGCTGGTTTTAACTGGTTGTGGAGTTTGGTGGAGGGTAGGCGGATAGGTAACTCTAGGTTCAGGCACTCAGGATATACGACTCATGCCACATACCTTGCTCAGCCAGGCCGGCAGCACTCATGGCGGCCGAAGCAGGGGCGGAGCTCTGCCTGCCAACTGATTGGACACAATCATTCAGTGGGAGGAGCCATAATGAAGCAAAAAGGCCCAACAGCAACGAGAGAGCAAGGTGCAAGTAAATTAGTTTTGAAAGGAAAAGTAGGAAGAAAGAAAGGATCGAAGAAGGGAAACACACTATTACAGGGGGTAAAAAAGAGGTAATTGATTCCCCTTAAAACATTAAGATAGAACTACAGAATCCAGCACAGAGGGTTGGACGTCAGGAACGGCGTTCAGAAAATGGCAGGATTTAGCTGTAAACAGTGTTTATAAAACAGGCTCTCAGATACAGAGTTCTGGGGTGACAAAGTCAAAGAAGAGGGACATTAACATCAAAGAGGCAGTAATAAAGGCTTTGGGGGAGAAGGGGGAGGAGTCGGAGGGTGCTAAACACTTGCATCCAAACGTCATTGCAACATCTTCTATTATGAAAGATCAAATTGTGAGAATTTCCCCCCAAAAAACCACACACTCAATCAATACGTCTGGGTTCATAGACACCATAGCATCTTCGGCCACTGTGTGCCAAACATGTGTTCAGTAAAAAAAATAAATTATTAAGTTCAGTAATAGGGAAATCAACATCCTTTGCACGGGAAGTACAGACATGGTGCGAGCTGTAGTTTATTAGGAACATTTTCCAGAGTAGCATTTCTCACAGCTCTCCAGAGTGGAAAGATGGTAGTTTGTCTCTTCAGCACTCAAGGTTCTTAAGCATCCCCTCCCAAACTGAAATGCACTGGGAGGGTCTGGATACTTCTCTTCCAAGAGTTCTGATACGCATTTACTGAGTTTTCTCATAGGCCTGGTTCACACAAAACAGTAAGGAAAATTCTGACTTACTAGGGCTGCACACTTTGCAGCCTCCTCAGTCCTTTTTACTGCTCCAATGTGCTGAGTTAAGCCAAGGTTTTGCTTTGTGTGTTGTCCGAAACTAGGCTTGTGGTTAAGCTCTTTTCACTAACCACGAGCTGCAGCCAAGTTCTGCTCTAACCACGAGCTGCAGCCAAGTTCTGTTCTTGGCTGCAGCTTGTGGTTAGCGAGGAGACAGCTTAACCGTGAGCCTGGGTTTGGATGACACATTAAGCCAAACCTTAGCTTAGCTCAGCAGGAGCAAAAAGGATCATGAAAGAGCCGAGGGGCTGTGAGCCCACACATCTGTGCAGCCACTGCAAGACATAGCATGCAGTATTAAAACAACCTTCCTAATAAAATGGTCAATGAGAAAACCAAGTTAAGACGTGGTTAAACCACCCGGATGATATCAAACAAAACGGAAGAAGAAAGTATGCAATTCTACGCCACCACTCAGAAAAGAGACCAACGGAGTATTTGGGTGTCTTAGTGGATCTTCAGGAAGGGCAAACGTCCACCTAAAAGCAAGACAGGATAGTAAAACATGCCTGAGAACAGGGACTTATGGGGCGGGGGGGGGGGGAGGGAGAAGAGGATGTAGCAGCACCATTTTCTAAGTCAGAGCTTTCCGAACTTTTCATGTTGGTGACACACTTCTTAGACACGCATCGTTTCGTGACAGAGTAATTTAAATTTTACTAGCAAACCGGAGGTTAAACTAACCCCTTTCCAGCCCCAGGAAGAGTGTGGGGTGCATTTGCGTAACACACCTACACACTGCAGCCGACACACTAACGTGTCGCAACACACAGTTTGGAAAGCTCTGTTCTAAGTGAGGCAGGCAACCCCCGGCAGTCTTCTCGTTAAGTTATAGGAGACCTCATTCTTCCCCAAAATGAAAACTAAGCAGATAAGCTCTTCGGGAACCCGCTGAGAAGAAGACTATAGCATTAATACAATGCATTTCAAGTATTCAAGGCACTTTGCAGATGTTATCTCAGTGATCCTTACAAAAGCCATGTAAAATCAGGAAGTATTAGCTCCTTGAGTGCAAAGGATTGAATCGTGCCTGAGGGCATCTAGTGAGTTTGTGGCTGAGGTGGGATTTGAAATGGGGAACCTGGTGCTCACATCTCAAGATCTCAGCTACTCCATACCAGTCTGCAAAAGGAAGAGATATATAGAGAATGGATAGCAGGTTCAGTAAATTAAGACTAGTCACCTTCCCAAATCTATCGTATTTTTCGCCCTATAGGACGCACTTTTCCCCCTCCCAAAATGAAGGGGAAATGTGTGTGCGTCCTATGGGGTGAATGCAGGCTTTCGCTGAAGCCTGGAGAGCGAGAGGGGTCGGTGCGCACCAACCCCTCTCGCTCTCCAGGCTTCGCGGACCTCTCCGCAAGCAGCGGGAGCCCGGCGCTGGGCTCCCGCTGCTTGCGGAGAGTTGCCTGCATGCTGAAGCCTGCGCGCGCTGAGCTCAGCGCGCCCAGGCTTCGCGGACCTCTCAGCAAGCAGCGGGAGCCAGCGCTGGGCTCTCACGGCTTGCAGAGAGCTGCCTGTTTGGGGGCTGGGGTCGGGGGAAGCTCGGGTTCCCCCGCCCCAGCCCCGTGCCTGGGGGGAAAAATAATTCCCCCCTTTATTTCCCCCCCAAAAAACTAGGTGCGCCTTATGGGACGGTGCGTCCTATAGTGCGAAAAATACGGTAATCCTCCTGCCTTGCATATTCAGAAGACTAATGAGTTAGTCACTAGTTCGTTCGCTATCTTGCCCAACATTTTATATACCTATATCTGCATTTATTCGAGTGCGTGCTCTCTCTCTCTCACTCTCTCTCTCACACACACAAAAATTCAGTGTCATAGGTCCAGTCTCACGGGTGGTTCACATTTGCAGATTAATTACTCAAAGACTGGAGCATCAAGAAATCACAGAATCGTAGACTTGGAAGGGACCTTAAGCCCCATCTAGTTGAATCCCCTGCAATGCAGAAATCTCAGCTAAAGCATCCATGACAGATGGCCATCTGAATCTTGAGCCAGTCTTTATGTGTGACTGAGATGACCCTTGAGCCTATTTAATGAAGTGAGGGCAAGAAGCAGCACGCTCATTCTGATTTGGCCGCCATATAACCACCACATTCCATTGGCTGCATGATGAGGTGACACTGTTGCAATGTCCAGGCTGGCTAGGATCTCTTTCATTCTCCGCTCTGTAAAAGCGCTAAAGCTTCAGATCAGAGGGAGAAGTACTGGTGAATAGGTGGCCAACAGTTTGGAACCAAAATACATAGTTTGAAATACAAAAGAGGGATTGGGGGAAAGGGGAGGGGGAAGAGAGAAGGGTTTCACACAAAATACTTGCTTAAATTACTACTACTACTACTACTACTATTCTGGGAGGTTTTTAACATTTGATGTTTTTATTATGTTTTTAGATATGCTATAAGCCAGATGGGCAGGGTATAAATATCATTATTATTATTATTACTATTAACTTGTTGAGTGGGTGCGTGTGCACACACACACAAACATGGGTGGCATCCAACTGTGTCCACTCACAAGCAAATAAGACTCTCCCTTGTGCAATGGGACTTGCCCTTCTGGAACACACCCAGAATCTGCTCTGGAGGGGGACTAGATTTTTTTTTTTTTTGGAGCTGGGGTTGATGAGGGGCTGTACCAGGGAGCAGATGATGATTAGGTCCACTTGAGTGACATTGAATATCATAAAAGTGAAGCAAGGTTTTATGAAACCTTTTCCCTCTCCCCTGCATTATCATTAATGAACATCCAGCACCAAAGTAAATTGAACCAAGGTGTGGCGCCAGAAACTATGTTCAGCGGGGAGCCTCAGTCAGGCTTGCCTCCATTAAATATATTTGTATGACACATACATCTGCAAACGTATTTGTAACCTCTGCACTTCGCAACTGTACCTCTAGAAAACCATTTCAGGTATGGTCTGTCGTGCATCTTGCATATGTAGCATACATCACGCTGCACATATAATGAGAGGTAAAAACAATGTGATGAAGGGAAAGTACTTGGAAGCAATACTGGTACCCATGGTCAACAGCTGTAATATGGTACTGAACTTTTATGAAGGATCTAAAGATGGTTATCACCTCCCTCCCACTGTGCTAACCTCTGAGCTGTTGGTTCTAATCCTTTGCCAGTCTGGTGCCAGCCAGATGTTTTAGGCTACAACTCCCACCACAGCCCCAGTCCGAAACATCTGGAGGGTACCAAGTTGGGGAACGCTCTTCAATACTAGTCCAAGGACCATAAATATCTTTGAAGCCACAAAGGCTACTTCTAGAGAAGAGTCACCAATGCTTTAAACAGAGCTGTGTTTTCTCCGAACGTAACTAAATTCAGGGGTGGGAACTTGCTTTTTAAAAAGACAAAACGGGGAAAAAACTTTAATTCTCAGGAAGTTGTATTGTACAACCACTGTGGCTTGCAGAACAGGGAGAGATCGATGAATCACAGAATTGTAGAGTTGGAAGGGACCATGAGGGTCATCTAGTCCAGCCTCCAGCAATGCCGGAATCTTTTGCCCAATGTGGCGCTTGAACCCATGGACCTGAGATGAGGAGTCTCATGCTCTACCAACTGAGATGGGGGCAAAGACCAACACCTCAAAGCTTGCTCCAGGTGAAGACCCCATCCCACCCTCCTCAAAACAAGACAGTTGACCACCAAATGCCCTGTGAGGATAACTGGGGGGACGGGGGACAGGCAACTACTGTGGTGCCCCGCAAGACGAATGCCTCGCATGACGGAAAACCCGCTAGACGAAAGGGTTTTCCGTTTTTGAGTTGCTTCGCAAGACGAATTTCCCTATGGGCTTGCTTCGCAAGACGAAAATGTCTTGCGAGTCTTGCCATTTCCCCCCGCTCCCCCCCCTTTTTCTAAGCTGCTAAGCCGCTAATAGCCTTTTAGCAGCTAAGCCGCTAAGCCTGTAATAGCCGCTAAGCCGCTAATAGCGCTAATCCGCTAAGCCGCTAATAGGGTTGCTTCGCAAGACGAAAAAACCACTAGACGAAGAGCATCGCGGAACGGATTCTTTTCGTCTTGCGAGGCACCACTGTAATACATCAGTCTACTCCAGTTGAACTGTACCACATTTCAAGCTGTCTA